ACCGTGGGTTACAGAGATTTGCAAACTAAAACCTGCTTCTTCTTTGGGTCTGACGGGTCAATCTCAGATCTTAGTGAACTAAGAGAAGCAAACTTGTAAATGAATTGCTCTGGAGTTTCTGTCTGACTTATGCATTTTCTTTTATTTATTTCATTTTTGCATTGAAAACATTACATTTCTGTTTCCTTATAGAGTAGTGTATCAAGAGCCTGTGTATGGCAATAAATTGCTGCAGGTATGAAATCCCGACTGGTGGAAAAACTCATCACTATGATTGTGGGTTTGCTGTGAAATCCTACTAACAAGACAGTTTTGGGGAGGGGAGCTGTTCTCTAACATAGAAAGAGGAAAGACTTAACTGAATTTTCCAGTTTCGATGTGAATGCTTCTAGAATAGAGATACATACAAATCCTTAGATTTCCCTTGTTTGCTAGATCCTGAGTGTATCCAAGTAGAGGTCTGAGTTGGCTGTAAATTTCCTGGCTTAAAATATATCTACACTCAATTAATATAAGTTCAGTGAAAAGAATTGGAAGGTTTCATTGCCATCAGTTGTCTGGGTAATTTGGTAGTAGGTTCCTAGAGTCAACTGGAATGGTTAAAAGAAAAACTTATTCATCTAGCATTGAGGGTCTGCACAGCTAGCATAACTTTCCCTGGCTTTCTTGGAGCTTCTTATAAATGTATTTCACACCTATTGCTATAGCTTTCAACCCTATTACTCACTCCTGAAGCAACCCCCAAATGAACCAATTTGTAGGAAGAAAAAAGAGCCAACACATCCATTGGAGTGTAGCTGGCCAAGTCTCCCAATATGGTCTATAACCAACATTAAAACTGTCAAATAAAATGAAAGAAGAATGTAAAGCTAAGGATGATCAGTGGGAGTTTTATTACATGGATTTCCCTGTAACATGCAGTTCTCATTTTTTCTATATTGTCCATTAAGAAAGTACTTTTTTTTTTTAACTGTGAGAATTCATCAAGTTTTAATGAGAAATCTGTATGAAAAAGGGGTACTTGGATCTAGGAGAGAGCAAAATAATTTAAATTCCCAAGATCAACTTTTATTTTTACATTTTGAGAAAACTGACTTTCATTGCCACACTTCAAAAACAGCTAGAATGTATGATGCAGATAAATTAGGGAGTGATTATTGAAGTGTTTCATTTTGCAAATGTTCTTATAAATGTAGTTTTAGTAAATCACATATTGAGATATATATGTGCATATTGGTATATTTGTGGTTGGCACAAAGTGAGATCCTTGGGTATTCTCAGAAGCCGGGAGGTTTCTGTCTGGAATCAAGCCTACTGCTACTTTTTACAGTGAAACTGAAGGGAAACACACACACACACACACACACACACACACACACACACAGCTACCTACCCCATGTCCCCCGTAGCACACAAACATTTGCCTCTCTTCCTAAGTCATTCACCATTAGGACATGAGAACATCTTTGTCCAAAAGTATGCTCTAAACTAAAAAATGTGATTTCCTTTGTCAAATGACACTTAGATGCATGGTGGGTCTATAGTGGTCAGCAGTATTGTTTTAGGAAGTCCCACAAATGGAGTGGCCAGTCACCTTCCCTTTAACTTGGCACTTCCCAAACCTGTTTGGGTAAGGTTCCTTTTCCTACCCTAGCTAGCATCCCACGAAGCACAGTTCTGAAAATGCTTTGTTGGAGCACCATCAGATATCCTTAATCAGTAATGTGCCCAACCTCCAGAGGACATCTGCTACCAAATGAGATGTTTCAGACAACAGGAGTCAGGGTCTTTGTGGCCACGTCTAGCGGTGGTGGCAGAGGTATGGGGGGTGGTGCGGATTCATAATGGCCATTTAAAATTTATATAAGGTCCCCATTTATAGCTTGCTATAGGAGTATGTTTTATGAGTAGGGAGCACAGTACTATGTTGTACCTGTCATTTGGCTTGATGGTAGGGAAAATCTAATTGTCAAGGACGCATTTTTGTCCTAAAGTCAGGAAGACTGGTTTCAACATAAGCATCGTTTGGTGCCAGCAAATGGAAATAAGCACTCCTTTTTCAGACATTAGCACAGAACCTTGGAGAAACTCTGGCTATGCTCAGCGAGCTGCAAAATATAGAGCAATAAAATTGATTAGAGTCACCTGTTAGCAAGGCAAATTAAAGCAATTTGTATTTTTTGATCATTTTATAGTATATGCACACATACACTGAGTTAATACACAACTCTGTTATTCCCCTAATACGGATTTCATACAGAAGAAAAACAGCAAAGGAAAACAATGCAAAAGAGAGATGTGGTGGTATCAAGCCACCTAATCCTTTTTTCTTTTCTTTTTTTCCCACTTACTACCTATGTGATGGATCTCATAGACCTGGACTGTCTGGCACCGAAGCCACCAGCCCCATGTGGCCCTTTCCATGTAAATTAAAATGAACTCAAATTAAACAAAGTAAAAATCCGATTTGCTTCATTGGCCACATTTCTGGTGTTCGATAGTCACCTAGGACCTAGACAGCTGCCCTGGACAGCACAGATGTAGAGCATTGCCGTCATTACCAACAGTCCCACTGGTCAGGAAGGAGACCATGGCGTAAGGTCAGAGTCTCTCCACTGACTCCACAGACTTCAACAAACTGTGACCTTGACTTTTAAATAGGGAATGCTCATAAACCGATTCCTGTGGCAAAGACCTGTGTCAGGGTATTGGCCGTTGGCACCTGTCTTGCATAAAAACACACACTCATTCTCTCTACATGGGCAAGTCATGTGAAAACAACGGGGTCCTTCCCAAAGCTTCACAGACCAGCACATCTGTTGTGCACAAGGATCCATTTTATGTGCGTACGACAAATATCGACTGGCCATCGGTGATGCTCATTTTCATTATCAGCTATTTGCACTGCACCTGTTGTCTCCACTTTTCAAACTCGCTGCCCACTTTCACCGATGGGAACTATCACATAAGTTGGGGACACATAGAGAGTTCAAACCTAGAGGATTCTTTGCAAGGGGGCTGTTGCTAGAAATCTTTGCTGGTACCAAATTCACAGTCACCAAATCGTGATTGATTTGCATAGTCCTTGATGCAAATACCTTTTGCAATGGCTTTTGCTTTTTATTCTGAGAAAAAAAAATACACACACACACACACACACACAAACACACTTTGTGTCCATCAAAGCTCTGAAAGCTTTGGCAGTTAGTGCCTCCTAGCAATCAGAGAGCCAACTTCAGCTCCTCTCTACCTCATTGTTTCATACACACACCTGCACACCTGTGTCTTCCTGGACACATCATGAAAGCCAAGGAGATGGACAAGCAGATAAGAAGAACAACTCCAGAAATCTGGTGACTTAATTTCCCCTCAGCCCATCATTCTCTATCTTGAGCTTGGTGCTGGTGTGACAACTGCTTTGGTTTTACAACTCCTCAGTACGTTTAATAAGTTTCTCCGTTTCCTAATTAGAGAACATGGTATTTGGAACACCAGGTGGTGTCTGGCTAAGACCTCTTTTCTTTCTTTCTTTCTTTTTTTTTTTTTACTTCCACATTATTGTTCAAGGAAAACTTTTTTTTTTTTTTTTTCTTTTGTAATACTGGCTGCAAAGGATGGGTGACTGTCAGGATGCCTTCTCCTGGGCTCATTCAAAGAACAAGTTTCTCTAAGGATAGACTAGATTTCTGAATTGCTACATTAGTGGTGGCAGATCTATCCCGAAAGTTAGCTGTTGCTAGAAGAGGGTAGAAATAAATTATTGAGACCACTTTGTCTACATTTTGAAAGACCTTTTTTGCAGCATTGATCTCCTTGTCCCACTGCTCGATGTGTCCTATACATGGAGCTAAATGTGAGGTATCCCCCACTCATGATTTTGTTGTTAGGTCCCCTCTGACACGTGAGTGACTTTGCTGTTGGTGTCCTCTAACACATCGGTCTGTACAGAGCTGTCCCTCTATGAGAAGGGTGAGAACTGTTCCCCCAGAGAATTATGGGACTGCGAATTCTAATTAGAATCTGAGTGGTCCCCATGTTATTGGTAGAGACTGGAACCTGTTTGTTAATTTTGCTGAGATCATTTGACAGTGGTTGATGTATTGCTGTGGTCTGCTAAGCAAGAAGCTCAGTTATTTTCACAGTTTGATAATCAATGCTCCACTGAACACAATTCCTTTTGAATATGACCATTTGCTTTCCTCTGCTTAATTGGACAATTGTATTTGCTGGTACATGCAACTAAATGTTAATTATTTTTTTCAGTTTTTTTTTCTCTCTTAATGATTTTATTTACAAATTGGAAAGCTTTATCATATTTTCCACACCAGACAAATTCCCTATCTGAACCAGTGTAATATCTTTAGCAGAAAAGACAGAATTTTTAAGAAGTATTCACTATTCCATTTTTTAAAATAAGTATGCAACACTCAGAAAGCTAAATACAGTCTTCTTTAATTGCTTCAGTGGTTGAACAGCTACATATGCAAGAGATTACTAATAAACGTACAATCAAAGCGTTATCTTATTTTTTATAAATATAAATGCAACACAGGAGGGCATTAGCTCAACCTATATTGGATTTTCAATCAAGGAGTGTTTGGATAAAACATAAGTTAGTAGCAGATAAGTAAAGGGAAAGCATAATCATTTTTGAAAATCTGGAAAGTTCAGCAAAGTATAGTGTTTAAAGAATTCCCCATAATTCTCCCCACCCCAGGACAATCACCATTAACCATTTAAGTACATCTCTTTAGAAGGGTATCTGGGTTCTTCCTCTGGGATATGCTCACAATTGCTAACCTTTAACATCCAGCTGGGGTTGGTATCAAGCCCCTGTCTCTCCGGTGTGTTTTGTACTTCGCTTTGGTACTAAGCTTTCATTAACCTCCACATTAGACTGGTGGATGTGGGTAACTGCTGTTCTGGTGTGGTCTCCCAATCGGGCGCCCCTGCTATGGGCTCCTGTGCGTTCCTAAGTCCAGTTTCTCCTTGCATTTTAGGGTGGTTATGCTGCATACCGCTACGCCCAGCCTACCCCTGCCACTGCCGCTGCCTACAGTGACAGGTAAGAGTCTCCCTTCTTCTGCTTGACAACTACATGGAAATGAACTTAGCTAGTAGGAGACGAGATTTTCGTCTGGTTTTGGTGCAAATGCATGACTTCTGGGGAGGCAGCACCCAAAAAGTCAGGTCCCATGATGAAGGGAAACAGTGCCATGTCGAGGGAGGATGAACAGTCAAGCCTAGACCATCCTAAACTCGCCCTCTCTGCTGAAACACAGGATTGCTATGTCTGGTCCGAGTAGAGTTGCTTCCCAGATCTCTCCATTCCTGTAACGGCGCACCTTGCATGCACACACATACTGTCCCCGTAGAGCCTTCCCACCTGCTTCTGAGTAAGAAGGAGCCATGGTTTCATCTAACTCATAGGAAGAACCCCAAGAAGACGATCATACAGGTTTCCCTTGATTTCAAGCACCCTGTTGCCCTGTTGTTTTTTTTTTTTTTTACAATGTTTTATACCCAGTAAAGCATTCCCTCCACTGCATTTTTTTAAATCAAAAACAAAGGAATGGGGGAGATATATCTGGCATTCCTAAGGAGATTCACTCTTTTTGGCAGTCCCAGTGTCCGATCCAACTAAGATAAGCCAACATTTATTTGTAACGCGCACCACATGTTAAGACCGGCAGTGGAAGGGACAGAGTGGGTTTAAGAAATGCAGAAGGCAGAATGGATGGCGGGGCCGGGGGAGGGAGGATGGAGGAGCTTTCTGACCCATCACCCAGGCTTAACAGATGACTTGGGTTCTGAAATGGCAAAGCCACAGCTATTTTCGTGTAGGTGCCTTGAAAAACACAAAGTGTGCGTTTTCATATTGAATGCAACTCGTTGGCTCTGTTTTCTGAGGACATAAACGTGAATGTTCAGAGGCTCTGCATGCACAAATGTCATCGAGGGTGCTTATTTTTGGTGATGAGTCCTTTAATTTAAAAATGTCTCCTGAATAAAACAGTAATGGTAACAATTTGCATGTGTGGCTGAGGCATGCTGGGTCAGACAGGTAAGCAGGCCATGTACTTGACCCCTGAATGGGAAGTGTCAGCAGCCTCTGGTTCTCCTTCCTCCCTGGCCTGTTGTGACTTAGTTCCCCTCTCTCGGTTTGCTGTGGTGTGCTTTCTCTGCGGCTCCATTCCATTTCTCACGAGATGTGTTGTGAGCTCAATGTAGCTGTGGATTTCTTCCAAGGTAGAAGAAAGCAAAATCAACTCCTGAACCCCAAAAGCTGCACTTTGAAACTCCCATGCCTTTGAAACCTCTTTGGCAAGCTAGCAGGGAGGTCACTATCTGGTTGTGTGCAGGTATTATTACTATTTTCTTACAAACAGCCATAACGAGTTCTCAAGGCCAGAGGGAGCCTCCACAGAAATGCAGACAACATCAAGATGCAGTGCTAAATGCATAAATTATCCAGTTACCCAATAATCTGTTGCCAAGATGCAAAACATGTTTATGTACATTACTATCTCCAGTACACTTTGACACTGGATTAGGAAACTAGAGAGGAACAATAAACTAATAAAAATGATGGCAGTCTTAAAATCCTTGAGCTCATACTACAAATGAAAAGTCTTACTGCTATTAAATTCTGCACACTGAAGATTCACAGAGCATCAATTGTGATGTGGTTCTCTCCAACCCTTAATTATTTCTATGAAAATATCTCTAGATGCTAAATTCTCAAACACCCACTTTGTATATAATTATAATCATAGTAACTTTAGCCTGCTGTATAATTATAAGAATCTTAAACGGATTTATTTCTTTGGATTTTTATCTTGCTTCTCAGTGAAAGTGCATCTTCCCCCAAGTTGAAAAAAAGGTTAATTACAAAGATATAATTTAAACTGACTTCTTCAATAAGACCAATCTAGACACTTTATAAAAAATAAATAATACTTATTACTATTCTTAGATAGAATTGCCATATCTGTTGGCATTTGTTCAAAAATTAAGTTAATATGTTGTTGCATTGGGGGTCACCCTATGCAAATATGTGTGTAAAATCTGTTATTTTTAATATTATTGAGATTTCTCATTGGCAACATGTCCTACCGAAAATTTCCCTCATTCTTGGATTGGTAAATCTTGAATAACCCTACAGTTCCCACTTCGGTGTAATTGTTTCAGTGGAAGAAACCAACTAAATATACTCTTGTCCATGTAATTGGCCTCTTGCTGTTCATTAAAGAAATTCGAACATTGGGTCTTCTTAGTTGCTGTAGAAATTGATTACCAGCCCTATTAAACTTTTTTACAACAACACAGTTGCCACATATGGGATTATTGCATTGAGGTAAATACAGTAATAGGTAAATTACCAGAAAACAATCTTTAAAATGATATTTCTGGTTCTATTTGCAAAATGTATTTATGACATGATGGTACTTCCTTGTACTTTCAGTAAGCAGGTAAACAGAAAGAAGACCCTTCCCTGTGGTAGAAGGCACACATTTGGGGGAAAATGTGAAATTATCAGAATAGCTTTTGAATCTAGATGAAAGATGCCAAGTTTCTAGAATTTATCTCAGGACAGTTGTGTAATAATTTATTTTCTCACGATCACAGTGTAGAATCAGCCGTGATAGATTCTCAGTTCCTCTCGTCTATAAGACAGGCAGGATGACAAAGAGTAAAACTTCTTAACCCAGAGAAACTCCTTCAGAATAGGAAGCAGAATAAGCAGGAATTGAGAGCATTTTGGTAATGCTTACTGGTTGTCAACTAAATGAAAAGAGAAACTGCAATGAACTTTACTTGTAATCATGAGATTTGCTCTTCAGGCATGTGGAAAGCAATAGAAGTTTGATGTCCCCAGTTGGTAGAATTTTGCCTTTTATCAGCACAAACTAAGCCCTCATCAAATTAAAGATTCAGGGACCTTTGGAAAATACTGAACTCCAGTAACCTCAGGACCGTCCAGAAGGTCCTTGATGGGTACCTTGCAACTCCCTGCCCATCATCTTCTTGGTCAAATGATCACATGCTGATTATCTGGGAGCACCCTGAGAGTTTCTGACTGCTGACCTCCAGAATGAAGACCATCTGGTGTGGGCAGAGAATTCCCCAAAAGAAAGAGACCTGCCCGGACTAGGTAATTTTATAGTCTCACTGACGAATTTAATGGGAACAGGCAAACATATTTCCTTGGCATTAGGAAACCTTTGGTAAGCATTTGACTTCACCAAATCTTCATTTTTAATCTCACTTTGATTTAGGGAAAGAAAGCCAACTTTCCAAACTCTCAAAGGGGATTGTTTTCTGAGCTTGAACCAATCAAAGCATGGCAGTGGGGCCGACGGTCATCTGGTCATTGCATGCCACTTGGTGTTGCTGATGTGTCCGTGATGCGTTCTGGATTTGACAGGTCCACCATCACATTAGCTCGATGAATGGCTTGCTTGAATTAAGCCTGGGGGCAGGCTTCTCTTTATGGATTGGCTCTTGGTTTCTTTGTGTTCTATGACTTGGTTGTTGGTGCATCTGTGAGCAGCCAAACCAGGAAGTGGGGCGGGACGGGATATTCCCTGTTCAGCGACTTGTGCCACAAATATTTGGGGGTGTATGTATGATGTGTCTATAGCTTTGATGAAAATGTTCTCTCTCCAGAAAGGCAGACATTTGTCATTGCTTGTCCTGCTTGCTAAACATTCTAACATCTCCGAATAACCAGTGCATGAGAATGTCCCCCACATTAGTGCAGAAGGGAACTAGAGTCTGATCAGCCAGAGAAGAAAGTGGTACAGAGTGGTTCACTTGGAGGTTTCCTAACAATCCCGTTGCACTGATAGTTACCAGGGGCCATTTCTTCTTTCACATAAGACACGTTTCCTTTAAAGATCCCCAAAAGTCAGCAACTTTGGACATGACAGGTATAGCCCCAGCCTCGCAGGTGCCCCCCTAGCCTGAGCAAAAAAGACAACAAGGCAAAAGATTTTGTTTATTTTCTAACTTTTTTATTCATTTATTTTTTGAGACCTTAAAATTTGTTGGAAACATAGTACTAGACTGTGCCATATAAAATTGTTATTTTTGTATGACAAAAAAATGGTAGAATATTGGCAATTTCATAGCTCAACTTAATAGAAACCCAGTTAAAATGCCCTAGAATCAATTATCTTCCTCTCTGCATTTGAAGTATTTCATATATATGTGTGTGTATGTTATGTGTCTTTATAACACACACACACATGCAGCTGTGTCTTAGGCCCTCATGAAGGTCTCCTAAGACAGTCTAGGTAAATCTTAATACAAGGAGGTCAGGACTGGTCAAATTCAGGCACTCATAAGCCACATGCTAGAACAGTTTTTAAATGAGATGGTCATAACCTATGAATATAAACTTCTATTTCAGAAAGAAACAAATGAGTAGTTCTTTTTTAAAAGTCAATAGGGATAAGTAGGCATGTCTTTGAGGTCATGGAGAAGTTGGACTACCCCTATTTGAACTCATATGGGTGATCGAGGTATACGTACGTACGTACATACATACATACATACATACATACATACATGTATGAGTCAATGGATAGATGGACGCGTGGGTGAATGAATGGATGGATGGGTGGAAGGGTGGATGGATGGATAGATGGAAAGTTAGATAGATGATAAATAGATACACAAGTGGTTAGGTGGAAGAGATAAAAATGAGAGAGGCAAGGAGAAGGAGACAGAAGGGTAGAAGAAAAAGAGAGAGAACAGAGGAAGGGAGGGAGGGAGGGAAGAAGGAAGGGAGGAAGATAGATGGACAGATATGGGCAGAACATCCCTCCACCTTCTCATAATTCCATCATAAGGGTAACCATAGGATATAGAACTCGGTTGTCCTGTAAAATCTTAGTTTGATCCAAACTGAAAAAGTAAAAGGATTTGCTTTGATTTCCATTTAATGCAGGTACTCCCTCTCTATTTTAAGACTTTCTACTTCCTGGACTCTGATTAAATAATAGATAAATGTCATCATTAAAAGAAAGCTAATAATTGCATTTAAAGTGATGTACCATT